ATGTGTTACATGGTAGCTGCTCTCCAGGGATGGAGTGACACATGGTGTTCTGGGCAAGCACCCCTGGCTGTCTGAGCACACTGCAGGTAGGCTCAGCAGCCCCCGCAATCGAGATGCCTGTGCAGGTGGTACATGCCTGATGCGGTGAAATGCCGGATGATTGATGGCCTTCAGGACAGGCCTTGGTGAGCGGAACTGACAGTGTAGGGAGGCTGGGTTGGGTAGATGCACCACCAATATGGACATGTATTCTTAGGGAAGCATGGCAGGCAATAGAAGAAAGCGGTTTTGCCTCATGACACCTATCATTGCTGAGCTGGGTGAACATGGAGTGAGACTTGCAAAAGCTCCACTGGAACAGGCAGTTCCGATCGGAAGACCCAGCCCCTGGAGGCAAATCCACTTTATGTACTCGGCTGGTCAGTCTGTCGTTGTTTCCCCAGTTGTGGTAGGTGGCGGTGCCGTCGTAGTAGTGCCTCCCTCCGTCGCCGCGCCTGGTAGGGCATAGATAGACACCCCCGGTCCCACCGATGAGCTGGTGGAGGGTGCCGGTGTGGCTGCGGTGGGCATGCCCGTTGACAATGGCAGTGCCGACGCCTTCCCTTCTGGTCCCACAAGGTGGGGTCGTGGTGCACTCGACGTTGCCGTTGGCGGTGGTGCCTTGGCCATGGGCAGGGTTGGTAGCGGGCTTGCATGAGGGGCAGGCGTTGCTGTTGTTGTTGTTGTTCCCGTTCCAGCCGTGGGCGGTGGACTGGGCATTGTTCCCAATGCAGTCGAGGCGACGGGTCCTGCAGGTCTGGTGGGCAGAGGTCCGACCGGTCGGGAGAAGAGACTGATGTACATGTCATCCGGTTCGGTGTGCAGTGCCGGCGGCACTGGCGTGGGAGCGGGTGGACCGTCCTTCCCGATGGGCCGTATGATGCTGGGCGCTGTCGGTGGCATCTTGGAGGCTGCTGGTACGGCCATTGCACTGGTAAGGGGTGGTCCCAGTGTTGGCGGTGGGGGCCCGCCAGGTGCAGTCGGTGGCGGTGGTCCCGGTGGTGGGACAGGTGCCGTCGGGGCAGCCTCGGAGTCCGATTCGCTGGAGGATGGCGGTAGAGCCCATTGCCACCCGGGGGCCATCTTTTGAGTCCTTAGATCTGGTTCCAGGCATGGCGGCTGGCTTCTTGAGGCTACCTTGAGTCGTGTCCTTCCCAGGGCCGGCAGGCCGCTTGCACATCTTTTTCCCCAGGGCCGTAATGCGCTTGAATGGGCTGCGTCTATTGGAATATTGAGCCAGAGCGCTGACCCCGGATTGTGGTTGTTACTTCCTGCCAGATCCTGTGGCTTCAGTGACCGATCAAGCTGCTTGGGCACCCACGTGGAGCTCACGGCAGGTGGTGCGGTGGTGAGAGTGTCCACTTCGTCACCTAAAGGCGGCTGTCCGAGCATACAATGAAAGCACAGATACGGCCACATCATAACCTGGTGCATGGACAGTAAGCAGGAGGCCAACTGTGTGCCATGCGATACATGGGCCAATCCCCTGAGTCGGGCTGCACACTGGAGCATGCAGATCGAGCCAACGGGCGTAAGGATGTGCACAGGTTCGAGCTCATGTTGCTCAGCACTGTAGGCACCGCAGCCGCCAGCACGGGTTTTTAGGCATGGTATGGTGCCACTGCAGTTTTCCTGCACGGGGAGCTCGAGCGGACAATGGATTGGGGTGCAGCTAGTCACCATGCTCTTCAGGCCACTCACATGTTGGTGCATATAGGAACCTCGTACTAGTGTGGGCATATTATGAGTGGCATTGCTTGGGTACGCCATAATGTTGAATCGGCTGGGTGAACATGGTATGGGCAGCTGATGAAAGATGCGGCCACTCACATTGGCTCGCAGACCTCGGCATGGCTTGCTCACTTCCACAGGCTTCCATGGACAGGTGCATAGGCTCAGGTTTTGGCAGGCGCGGTGAGCCCGCTGCCCTCGCCCACGATATGCAAAAGTTCCTGGCCAGGGGACAGTCCCGATTGTGCAAGTTCCTGCGTGAACAGCGTGTCCCACTGCAGGAGGGTAACCGTTAACAAACGCTGCATGCATGAGGCATGGGGCTGTATGCTGGAGTGTGTGGTTTCTCTCTGTAAGCAAACCTAACCTTCCAAGGGCAGGACCGGCGTGGTGAACCCACAGTCCGGGGATCAGTGAGGCTATCCTTGGCAAAAGGGGTCGAGGGCACGAATCGTCCATCTGAAGGGATTGGGCTTTCGCTTCTGCACACGTTGACGCCCAGCAAAGGGATTGGGGCTCCAGGCAGCAGGTTGTCGCCTTGTGCTCTGAACCTTTGCAAGACCAGCACTGGCTACGTGCACAGTACGAATGCATGCGTAGTCTCGGCTGTTGGCAGGCGCGGTGATCCCGCAGCCCTCGCCCACACTGCTGTGTTGCACCTGTCAAGTGAGAGTCGCTGGGGTTCCAAGCACGTGCTGGGGTGAGGAGGTAAATATCCGGAATGTCAGTAGGGGGATGATAGGTGACTCTTAGGTGGATGGAGTGGAGGTGCCGCTTATTGGGTCTGAGTTGTCGGCCGGCGTGGCGACCCCACTGCCGTCGATCTGCTAGGTGCCACCTGGAGTGATTACCGGCAGCCATCGGTACTGGACTGCCCTTTGCACTGCTAGCACTTATGTGGCTGCGTAGGCACTGTCGGAATTGTGGCTTCTGAAGGGTGAGCCATAGCATGAGGCCGTGACCTTTGTTCTCCTTGTTATCGGAGCTGGATGCTGCGTTCGCGTCTTCGCTGTCTGGGCCATCATCTTCCTGGTGTACTGGAGGCATCGTCCGGCAAGGGGGCGCGGTCAGAGGCTGCCGTTGGGCATTATGATGCTGCCGGATCCTGGCGACCGCCGCCTCCACTCTCTCCAGGGGACCGTTGCTGCTGGCTGACGTTGAGCATCCGTGTCCAGCTTCTGCATCTCCTCGTCGTATGGCCTCCTCGTGGCTGCTGAGGGCCTGCAGGGCAATCTCCAGGTCTGCCAGCGGCGCCTCTCCAATGTTCATCGTCTCGCCTGCAGGAAGAATCCCCAATCCTGTAGAACCTGCGTGGCTTTGTCCCCCATCATCCGGCACAGCCCCTGATACGCTTGATTCCCACCAAGCTGGTGCAGGGCCTCGTCAATTGCCGCCATGAGCTGAAAAGGCTGAAGGCCATCGTGAAGCATGCCTTGCAGGAACAGGGCCACACGAATCACCGCATCATCGAGCTCATTTGGGCACCATGTGACGGTGTTCTCGAGCGATTGGAAGAGGCCGCATAGTGCCTGACTAGGCTCTTGGAGCACTTCGAGCGGCACTACGTTGGGTGACCATGTTGGCTGGCCTTCACTCCAATACCATGTCGCCCCTTCGTGTTCCTCAAAGGGATCAGTGCCGTTGGAGGCCTCATCCTCATCGGGCTCCATGACGGCTGCAGGCGCCTTGTCTGCGTGGCTTCCTGAGGCAGTGGCGCTCTCCGACATGAGCGGTGCCTCTTCCTCCTCCATGATCATGGCGTCTTCCTCACTTCCCTGAGCGATGGCTTCCGTACCCTTTTGGGCGCACCATACGTCCACGGCAGAAGCAGCCACAGGATGCACACGATGGGCCACAGCGCACGCACCATGATTGAGCACGCCTAGCAAGCGTCGAAGGGGGGTCCCGGTTAAAAGCGAGCCAGTTTGGGGCCACAGGCACGGTTAACCCCTACACAAAAACCCCACTCAGGTTTGAGCCGATAAGCCTTATTCACGAAAAGTCACGATTCATGATAAGTCAAGATCACTCTCACTGCACATCAATGTTGCGACTCGGTTTGTGTGCGACGCCTACGTTGAGAAGTTTACTAACAAAAAAGAAAATTGCCAAATTCTTCCTTTGACTGCTTAGTGTAGGCCTTGTTCCATCCGGGGCTCTCTTCAAGCCTCTCAGGGCAATGTCCCGAAGGACAAGTCAAGGGATACGGGCTCTTATGTCCCGCGGTGATGGCGCCCAAGAGGGAAGGCCATGCCAATTCACACTTGACACCGAGCAATCTCGGAATGAGTTGCGTGTCTGGTATGCACTCCATCAGGGAGATCAAGAAAATCAAAATGTTCAGCGAGGCTTTCAATAGGCTCATGTTATTTGATTAGGTATGGCAATCCAAGTTGCGTGAAAGCCAAGGCACTTTCATCCCGAATATCCAAGGCACATTAAATGATTCACGGCTGAATACAATTCGGAGTTGAGGGTAAATGATGTCACAAGCATGATTGGTGGATCGGGTCCAGTCCACTTGAAGCAGGTACACGAAGATGGCCAGTCTTAGCTTCCCTCTTAGGTGCAAGCAATAGGAAAGAGCCAATACGAGCAGCAGGGGAGCGTGGCTCTTGCATCCTACCACACTCAACGAAGGTGTGGATGCACCCTTTGATACTCGGGTTGCCCCCACACACACACGCACACACAGACACACCCACACCCACACCCACACGCACACGCACACGCACACGCACATGCACATGCACATGCACACGCACACACAGACACGGACACGGACACGGACACGGACACGGACACAGACACAGACACAGACACACACACACACACACACACACACACACACACACACACACACAGACACACACAGACACACACAGACACACACAGACACACACAGACACACACACACAGACACACACAGACACACAGACACACACACACACAGCACACACACACACACACACACACACACACACACACACACACACACACACACACAAACACACACACACACAAACACACACACACACACACACACACACACACACACACACACACACACACACACACACACACACACCCGCGCACACACACACACACACACACACACACCCACACACCCGCGCGCACACACACACACACACACACACAATCCACTCTTTCGGGTCCGCCAAGCGATCCTGGCAAGCCTAACCCCAAGCCCTAAACCCTGAACGTTGGAGGTCGCGGCACAGCTCAAAGACGAACTCCGTCGGCTCCAGGCCAGGTGGGGTGAGTGCGAGCAGTCGTGCAGAGACGACTGAGCATGCGCTAAGTGCTGAAGACGCGTCAAGTTGAAGCGTCCCAAGCAGCGCGAGATGTGTCCCAGAGTGAACTGATCGACATGCTTCTTACCCTGCTGTGTTGCCCATGACAGCATTTTCAAGCCTGGTGTCAACTCAGCAGAAGGGCCGCGAGCTCAGGCCGGATGAATGGCAAGGTGGTCGAAGAAGGCGCCAAAGACTTACAGCCGGAGATTCGCAGAAGCTCGAAATTCCTGCGTTGGCAAGATTGAAACTGAGCGGATGTCTCTCTCAATTAACATGGGCGTCCTCTTTTCCTTGTCTTGCAACTAAATGAATCTGCTTCCGAGAGCCCAAAGCACTCAAGCCACAGCTCTGGATTTCGGGTTAGATTGAAATTCTAGAGTTTGGCGTTTCTCCTCCCCGCCGTTGTTCAGGCTGAGGACTTAGGTTCAAGGCTTAGGGTTTCCCCTCCCTTCCCCCGTGGTTCGTTGACAGTGGGTGGAGACACAGAAAGGGCACCGAAGCTCGTACTTGCCTAAAAGATGCCAGGAGGAAAGATAATCGCACAGGCCCCTTTTGCTCCTGTTGTTCGTCAGTAGTGCCCTTTCCTCCATCCCCATCCCGAGCCCAAACCCTCAAACCTTCAAGCGCCTCGAACGGCGGGCCTGAGAGCGACAAGCGAGTCAGGGGCACAACGTCACCGACAGCACACAGCTTACACAGAAATGATGGACAGTTCATGCCCTGTTGGCATGTGCGGCCTGCCGCGATGACGGTATAATTCAAAACCACATACAAGGATTGCCGGGGTGCCAGTATCTTTCCCATGTTCAGCCGCAGAAAAGTGTCAGAGCAATTTCCAATGGCACGCTGACCGTCAGTGCGGAATACACTGTCTGGAAGTCTGGAAAGTGTGTCGCAGTTTCGCCGCAGGGAGTTGAGTTGTTGCAATCACCAAGTTGAGACGCGGCGTCTTTGTCAGAAGGGCCTGCCGAAGCAAGCTGAATCTTCCGTGCACGCTTGAAGTCTGGCAGCTCTGGAGGCTTGAGCGTCGAGGGCACCTTGGAAAGCAAACAAGTTCCATCTGAGATGCCCTTGATCTGAGCCTCTGTCTGTGGGCGTGTGTGCATTATGCGCGTCATTGCAAACCTAGCGCTTCCAGGCTGCAAAAGGGCCTGGTGAGCGTGGCGGTGCTGGGAACTCAGTCAACGTAAGCTCTCGAAGATGACTCTTGGGGCATCGCAACATGCAACTTCTCACGTAAGGTCTTGAACAAGAGCTGTTTAGTGTGGCCCAACGCCCCAACAGTCCCGAAAATGACTCAAGCCCAAAGCTCAAGGCAGCAAGCTCTCCTCCCCAGCAGTGGATCGCTTTGCAAGTTTCTGTATCAGGTCGCTGGAGATCTTCAGAGGTGGAGGCTCAGTGGTGACTTGTTGGCATGACAGTTCGGAGAGTTTGAGACCAGGTTTCTCCCAAAGACTTAAAAAGTATCAGGGGTGTGAAAGTGTAGTCTGAGCTTACCAGCTTACCTGAGGCTCCAGGCGGTGATCGAAGGTCACATCGAGCGGTGCAAGCGAGTCTCTCGCCGGACGAAGCTCGTCAAGTGGACCAAGGGCTGCTGTTCAGCAGCTTTTCAGCGACGAATCAGGCGTTGTCAGCCGCTGTCACGCGCTGTCCCAGTGGTAAGCTCGAAGGCTGAGAAAATCTCGCCCCCGCGAGCTAGCATCTGGAGGAGGCAGCACGTCCAAAACGGTTCATGCAGTGTTATCCTGGGAAGGAGGTTCTGTTAGAGGCGTTTTCGAGTTGCAGTTGTTCGACGACTGTCGAGCCGTGTGGCACTTTAGCACTTCATCTCGCCCTTCTGCAACCTCTTGCAAGTTGCCTGCAAGTTGCCTGCAAGTCTGGCTTTCCCCAAAGCACCACGCAGGCGCCCAGGAACCTTTGAGCGTCATGCGTCGCAACATCGTTTTGCTATACTTTGGTATCATCCTAGTGTGTGTTTCTTACGATTTTGCGAGTGTCTTCTTTATTGTTCGTGGAATCCGTTGTATCTACAACAGAATTTCCGGATTCCTTTTGAATTGACAGGGCCCCTTTTACATCTCAAGTGGGATTCTTATGATTTCTTTCAGAGTCCCGAAACCCGGTGAAGCTTCCACGGGATGTTTTAGTTCTAGAAGATTTCATCAAGAATCCCGGTTACTACATCCTCATTTGGGTTCCTGTTTGCAGTGAATTCTGTAGAGGAAAACGGAAAGATGCAAACTCTCGGGAGTCCAGGAATCCAGCAGCCAGGAATCCTCCTTCATGTCGCAAGAACTCAGGATCGCTGTAGAAATTCTGAGTAGGGTATCAGGAATCGCTGTAGGAAGGAAGCTGAGCATCCCTACTTGAAGTTTTCTCACTCGCAGCCTGTGTGAACCTGTAGTTGGCTGAGGAGGCCATGGTTTCAGTGCCTTTTGAACTTCATTGTTAGAGGACAGCATGGTGCCCGGCCAGCTACAGTGCCCGAGAAGCGCGCATCGATTTTTCAAGCTTGAGCCTAGAGTCACAGCAGCATTTCGGGTCGCAGAAGGATGAGTGTGATTCTTTATACGCTGAATCAGGCAGGGTCATCATCCATTCGGATTCCCCACACCGGGAAGCATTGATGGTCCTCCTTGCACTGGCAGAGTTCAGCCGCTGTACCACATGGAGTTGGTTCGGCCGCTTTTAACGTGTTGTTCTGAAGCTCTCCATTCGTGTTGGCCTTTCATAAGAGTGATTCGAAGGCATGGCTCCCTTTCCCAGACCCGGACGAAATGGAAGTTAAAGACGCTACCTTTGCAGACGGACGAGTTGGAAGATGCCTTCGACTTGAGTGATCCTGACATAGATCAGCATCTACGTGATGCAAGCTATCCATGGGAAGACTCTCATGGCAGGCGTTGTCCGATCGTTCTTAGTGTCCGCTTCGGCTCTCACGACTATTGTGCGAGCTCTCAGGCAAAGATAGAAGGTTACGAGCAGGGCCACGGAGATTCAAGTGACGAGGCATTCTTCCCTGCTGTGCGGGCGGAGGCAGCCCTAACCATGAACGATAGATTTGGCAATAGTTATCAAGAAAGTGGTGGACATGTTTACTACCCAAACAAATTCAACAAGCTCTTCTGTGTCGTACAAGAATGCGGGCACTGGTGTCGGGGTCAATGCCGGGAAGATGTTTCCGCAAAACCAACCAACAAGGACTGCTGGGCCGCATCCTTTCGCTGGCATTTGGCAGGCGGGGACGGGGACCGGAATAGGGCGCCACCCATCATGCTTCAGGTCATTGAAGAGACTGGGCACTTGGGCCCAGGGCAAGAAGAAGAGATCGCAATGGCAAAAGATCTTGGCATTCCAATTTTCCTGGCACAGATAGGATGGCGGAATGGGAGACAGAGGATCGTGTTCTTCAAAAGCGAAGAGCAGCCACAGCCATTCTTGACTCGCAGGCTCAAGTTCCAGCGATTCCTGCTACACTGGGCTTCCCGTCGAGGCCATTCCTGGCTTGTGCGCTGCCTCCTCGCAAGTGGTTTGGACGGTGCGCAGCAAATCGACGACGATGGATGGGCTGCGGCACATGTTGCAGCATATCACGGACACGTCGCAGTTCTCAGTGAGCTGGGCTCGGGAAAGGTAGACCTATGTGGCAGAAGCAACATCGGCCAAACCCCTGTCCTTGTTGCAGCCCAATGCGGCTGCGAGCCTGCACTCCATGTTCTACACCGTTTCGGTGCTGACCTCTCCGTGCAGGATGACTGCCGCAGGACCGCGGTACATTATGCTGCCTTTCGTGGACACCTGAAGGTCTTGCACGCGCTCTACAGCTACGGGGTGTCCCTCTCTGCAGCTGATGATCAAGGGCGGACAGCGGCCCATTGTGCAGCTTTTCACGGCTGTGATTTCCTTTTGGGGGAGTTGCTCGCAATGAAAGTGGATCTAAATGCGCGCGATGCTCGGGGCCAGACTCCGGCGCACTGGGCAGCCATCAACGGCTGCAAAGGCGTACTCGAGAAGCTTCACAACTTGCAGGTTGACCTCAAAAGGCCCGATTCCATGGGTCGGGCTCCTGTGCATTTTGCTGCGGCAAATGGGCACGTTGAGGTGTTCGAGATCCTGAAGCAAGCTGGCACCAGTCTTGAGGTTCGGGATGACTTGGGCCAGATGCCAGCACATTTTGCGGCCAAGCATGGAAGACAGGCGGTCCTGAAGGAGCTACACCAAAGAGGCGCTCGCATAGACCTTTCGGACCGCATGGGCCTGCGCCCGTTCCACCTTGCAGCACAACATGGACATCGACCAGCTTTGGCCCAGCTTGTCGAGGCTGCTAGAGAGATCTTTGCGAACTCTGACGTGTTGTTCTTTGTTATGTGTGGAGATTGTGATGGCAGGACCCCGGCTCATCTGGCTGCCAAGTGCGAGCGAGCTGAGATTCTGTCTTTTTTGTATGAGTTGAAAGCTGACCTCGGCGTGACAGACAAGAAAGGCTTTACCCCAGCACACGATGCAGCTGCAAATGGTCACGACCAGATTCTTCGACAGCTGCTGCACTTCGGAGTTGACCTGAACAAGAAGGACCATGCCGGGCAAAGCCCCTTGCTCCGCGCAGTTGCTGGGCAACTCCCGAGAAGGCAGGTGCTGGAAGTCTTGGCCGAAAGTGGGGAAGGAGCCGACCTCAATGAAGCTGCGAAGATGGCCCACGCAAGGGGTCAGCGGCAAGTACTCCAATGGCTCCTTGAGCTGCGTGCTGACCCAGCTGTTTGCGATCCCAAGCAGAGCCCTTTCCATGTGGCCATTCATGGACATCAAGCTCAGGGCTTCGTCCCTGCACCAGCAGATGCAACTTGAATGCATCTTTCTTTCTTCCGCTTGTCTTAAGGTTGCTTTGCGCCCAGAATCGGTAGAGTCTGCTGTCTCGCCTGTCTCGCGAGGTGCCCGACAATCCCATGCGACGTGAGGAGTGACGCATGGGGCAAGTCGGGATGGGGACTTGGAGTGAGCTGTACGCCCTGGTATCTCGGGGGTGCGTTGTGTGGGAGTTTTTTGCTAAGCGGTGCAAGTTGGGGGTCACAATATGGGGTGCAATCTCGACCGGATCGTTCCAGGACCCGAGAAGACAGAGCCCCCAAGCGAGAGAGCTGTTCAGGACGGGTCTCGAGTCTGCACCGTGGGGGAGTCACAGATACACGTTTTACCTTTTCTAGGCCTGGAAGTGCCCTGTGGAATCTGCCAATGTCCAACGACTTTTTTTTTCATCGCTCCGCTGCAGGACTCAGGCTTCCCATGCTTCCGATGCCGAGGCGCGCAGCATGCAGCCTGGGTTTAGGTGGGAGGTCCTTCTTAAGAGGCCATAAAAATTGAAGCACAGGGGATCCAGATTGGGAGGGACCGCCCTTACTCGGAATGGCCTAAAGTCGAAAAGCTCTGCGCCTATTTTGAACGCCCTTCGACGCTCGAGCCTCCGTGCATCCCAAAAAACTTGCAGAAGCACTTCGAGTCCCCTCACCCCTTGTAGCACATCGGCTTCTACGCGTCGAATGGTGGGGATGGGTGGGCTTTGACAGTCCCCCACTTTGCCACTCAAGGCCCTGCACCCCGAAACACCTGCGCCAAAACAAGTGGTCAGTGCTCCATATAGGGTTTAGGGGGGTTTAGGGCTCAGGGTTGTCCCCAAAGAAGGTGATCAAGAAGGGGGGGGGGGGGCTCGCGTGGCAGGACGTTGCAGGAGGCTGCCCGCTCCGCGACGCCAGCGATGTGGAGGAGAGCGTGCTGGACATTGCAAAAGACAGTCTACAGGTGGAGCTGCGCGGTGGCGAAGTCGCCGTGCTCCGTGACTCGGTCCTGCTGATCATGACGGCCGAGACCTACGAGCAGCATTCCTTGAGCTTCAAGGTGTTAAAGCGGGGGTCGATGCCGCTGCCGCTGCCTGAGCAGTCGGTGGCGCTAAGCCCATTGTTGGATCTCCGCCCGCACGGGGTGCATTTCAAGGAGCCCGTGCTGGTGGTCTTCCCTGTGTGTGTCGGGGCCACGAAGATTTGGCGTTCGGACATTAGCGAAACTGGCGACACCGGCTGGGAGGAGCTAACCAATGTCCAGCTCAGCGCCGGCCACGCCGTCTTGCGATTGGATCACTTCTGTCAGGTTGTGGCCGGAGCCCCCGAACCCGTGAGAAAGCCCATTAAGATCAAAGGCTACATGAAGGCCCAGGCCGCCAAGTGGACCATCACACATGTCCACTGTGCAAACTGCGAGCAGATTCTGGCAGAGCACTTGGCAGACCCCGACGTGTTGAAGGGCTACAGGCCCTGCGAGCCACTGTTCAAGGCCGCAACGTATTCACACAAACAGTTCCTAGAGCTGTCTTGGCCGGACTCGTCCCAGTCGTCCCACGCGAATGCAGAGCCAGGGATTTTGGACTTCGAACAATTTCCCATCGTATCCACTGTTTCATGGACGGTACCATCGCCACCTGACGTCGAATTGTGGCTGAAAGAGAAGGACAGAGAGGAGACCATTCGACGCAAGTTGAGCTGCCCAGCGGACGTTAGCAGCAACAGCGTTGGGGATGCACCTCCTTTTCTCGTCGACACATGTCACTGTGCATGACAGCTTCTGGTGTCTGAGCTTCCCTTGTTCTCCGCGATGTCAGTAGCATGTCGCCCTTCGTTCTCAAGTATGCGTATAATTCCACTTGCATCTGTGGCTTTGCTACCCCCTTCCTTCCTCGCACGTTTCTGAACTCCTGCGGCGAGAGACAACCATGTGCAAAAGTCAATGAAATAACGTGTCACCAAACATTCTTTGAGTTCCTGGGCTGTTTAAGCGTTGATCATGACCTTCTGCTAGACACTTTTTGGCGGTGTATAGTATAATCCTTATCGTCAATTAGGGTCAAGGCTGCTCCCCACGTCTCTGCTGATCGCGTGCGTCTCTGTAGGGAAGAGCAAGGAGTGCTTTCAGAGCAACAACTCTGGTGACACACATACACACACACAACACCCCACCCCCCCCCCCACACACACACACACACACACACACACACACCACACACACACACACACACACACACACACCAGCCCACGCACGCACGCACGCACGCACGCACGCACGCACGCACGCACGCACGCACGCAACGCACGCGCACGCACACACACACACACACACACACACACACACACACACACACACACACACACACACACACAACACAACACACACACAAACACACACACACACACACACACACACACACACACACACACACACACACACCACGCACGCACGCACGCACGCACGCACGCACGCACGCACGCACGCACGCACACGCACGCACGCACGCACGCACGCGCACGCACACACACACACACACACACACACACACCACACACACACACACACACACACACACACACACACACACACACACACACACACACACATACACGCCGTTGCGCGCCTCGCCTGCGCGCGCCTGCGCGCCCGCGCCTGCGCGCCCCGCCTGCGCCGCCCGCGCCTGCGCCGCGCCGCGCGCCCGCGCCTGCGCGCCCGCGCCTGCACGCGCCTGCGCGCCCGCGCCGCGCCCCGCCCTGCGCGCCCGCGCCTGCGCGCCGCGCTGCGCGCCGCGCTGCGCGCCCGCGACTGCGCGCCCGCGCCTGCGCGCCGCGCCTGCGCGCCCGCGCCTGCGCGCCGCCGCGCGCCGCGCTGCGCGCCCGCGCCTGCGCGCACCGCCCTGCGCCCGCGCCTGCGCGCGCGCCGCGCCTGCGCCTGCCGCCCGCGCCGCGCCTGCGCGCTGCGCGCGCGCCCGCGCCTGCGCGCCCGCGCCTGCGCGCCCGCGCCTGCGCGCCCGCGCCTGCGCGTTTCACTCAGCAAGAGAATGCTGGGGCTCAGGCGCAGGAAGAGCCAGAAAGGATACTGTAGCAGTCCACACTCAAAGCATCGCAATGGGCCGCTGAGTCTGAGAAGCCTTCGCATGCGTCGAAACCTATGTAGATCTAGTTGGTTCTAAGCGAAAAACTCACTGGATTGGCCGAATAACCATTCTATGTCTTTCTTGAAGGGTGACTGCTACAGTGATTGGCAGAATGGCAGTACACCCAAATGTGCCGGGAGCCCCCAAATGGACAGGGCAACGCTGTTGCCCCATGCGGGCGCACGGGGCGAGTATACTTCGCAAAACAAGAAGGCAGTTTTTTCTTGCATTCTGCGAAGCATTTACGCAGAGATGGGGGCTACAGTCGGCATGCCAGTTGGACGATTTCACCGAAACCACGCTCACTAAGCTCTTGTTCGCCTGTCCGAGGGCATCCGAAAAGTTGAAGCCTTGTCTCTTAAAGTCAACATGGTCTTGCCTTCTTGTGGCGTTTGTGTAACACAGTGTGTGTGTAGGCGTGCTAAGTGGTTCCGGTCATCCGGCAAAGAGTCAGATGGCCAGTCCATTGTCGGACTCGGCATGCCCTGGCCCAGGTTTACAGGATGCACCTGCTAGCCAAGCTAGCGAAAGTGAAGTGCAGCTTGGGTCAGTGCACTTGCAACACTTTCTGGCATGTGAGGCTTTCCTCATGGGCCCGAAATTTTCAAAAAACTCCTGGGACCCCTTATGCGTCCCCCCAAGCCTAAGCCCAGGTTCCTTGCTGCCTGCCCAGACAGCACAGTCCAGGCCAGAACCTGCCGAAATCTGGAGCCAGCACTCGTGTTGCTTGTCATTGCTGTTTTCACTACACGTGACACGAGCTGCAGGTGGGCGGACGAAGTGAGGCCTCTAGCCCAAGCAGCAGCTCTGGTTCACTGTGCGCAGGCGCTCCTCATTCATGCCTTTGCGTCACAGCAAGCCGAAGCTGCATTCCAGTCCTTTGATATGACATCTAGACTCTAGACATGAGGGAGACAAGAATCCAGGCAGAAGTCAAATATGAGCTTCCGGGCACGAACGCGACTCCCAAACCACCGCCAGGACTTGAAAGCATCTAAGATGAGCGTGCAAGTTGGAAACAACGTATCTAAGACAGTTTCCTGACCAAGTTTGGTCGAGATATTGTCTGGGCGCACTGTCAATGACCGTGCTCGCCCCAGCGACTAGATGACGATCGAAGGGGATTTGACACTGGTGCATACGGCAACACACAGAGTATGCAATCACAGGCAGAAGCATGTCATTCCGCCTGCACAGCGCGGCCTTTTTCCCCAATTTCCCCTTCCTCCCAACTTCTCTTCGAGAGGGGGGGGGCCTCACACTGCAAGCTCTCCATCTCGACACTCCTTTCGCGAGGTATGGCTGCCCCCCCGCAACTCTCCAGTAGCGCGATTCGCTGCCCCAAGTCGAGGTCAGCTGGGCAGCGAGCTCTCGACTGTGCGAGACCTGACAGCACGCGCCGCTGGGCATCTCAAGTTGTCTCAACTGTGTACTCTTTCATGTGCCCTTCCCCCGGCAAGAAGCAGTGAGATCCGAGTAGAGCACTGCTCGGCTTCCTGCACTTGCCCCATAGTTGTAGCGCAGGGCACTACTGGATACGAGCTGGCAAGGCAGTGGTTGTGGTTGTGGTTGTGGTTGTGTGCATGTGTGGGTGTGAAACGTCGAGCTCTGTGGTCTTTGGCTGCCACCCCCCCACACCCCCCATGGTATGCCCACTCCCCCCATACTCCCTTGGATCCCTACCCCCACCCTCCCCCCCCCCTGTGATGGGTGTGGTTGGGCGGTTAGGGTTTAGTGTTTAAGGTTGAGGGTTTAGGGTCTAAGGTTTAGGCCCGTTGTGTGCTTGGGGGCTTGGGGTTAGGACTTGGGTTGAAGGTTTAAGAGACCGGCCGTCCGTGCTACCCTTGCGCGCCCCCTGTGGTGTGGGTGTGGTGGGGGGGTTTAGGGTTTAAGGTTTAAGGTTAGGGCTTGCAAAGGTTTAAGGTTTACGGTTTAGGCCCCCCCTCCCTGTGCTGTGAATGGCGGGTTGGCGAGAATTTGCATGATGTCTGGGCGCAAGCCAAGAAAAATCAGTGTCTCCGCAGTGGAATGGGCCTGCCCGGTTGCGATTCCTGTGTAGGCGGGGCATGGGCGGGGCATAATGAGAACAGGCAGCATCCACTCCACCCTCTCACATGTGACGATGGGGTGAGCATGAATCTGTCGTCTGTCGTCGGGCTCCAATCTATCGCGTCGCTGGAGTGTGACCTTGTACAGCGTGTGTGAGGCAAAGAGCCTGGTGCCGGAGCACCAGGACTGCACGGTTGTCGTGCATGCTCGGGCCTGAGAGCGATCGCAACGCCGAGCATGCCCAAACCGATTGAGGGCAAAGGCCTCCCTGACACAGACTTCTTACCACAATACGGCCAAAGGGGACCGTCATTTCAAGAATCGGCCCGAATCATTGCTGCTATCTACCACATAAGTCAAACCGCACAGCTGTGCTGAAGCCGGACATTCCCGATTCTTGGAGGGAGAAATGTATATATGTTTGGACACCTCCCCCCCCCCCCGTGACCTACCCCCCGGCCGTTTTTTTCTATCGTTAATTTATCGTAGATGTCGTTGATCATCCACCTGGCCAATTTTCTCTTCTGTACGTAACTTTTCTTCCCTCTACTCTGAGCAACGTTGTTTAGGACAATTCAGCTTAGGCTTACATACGCAGCTCATACTTGGATCTACCAACACCGAGAACTCTAGGAAAAAGAGTTCTGAGCAATGAGGAGGATCTAGCGAAAGGTTGGGAATTCTCATCCTCTCTCGTACAAAAGATCAAGACCATCTCTTTCCCTGGTCAAAAGATGGCTTTCTCACTCAAGCATAATGTCACTAGGGACATTTGAGTTTTGACTAACACTGTGCAGATCTCTCACGCCGTTCACGCAGTAGGGCATACCATTCTTGCAGCACCGTCAATGCGAGAAAAATATGTCTTTTCCCATGCTAGTCGATGCCATTTGTGCTTTTTGAAAGAGTAGTATATAGTTGGTATTTACATAGTATGCATGTACATTTAACTACTGTGCACATATTTTTTCGTGGTTTAGCTATTCTCTTATTCATATAGTTCTTGTATTCGAATAGGTTTTACTCGGTATGATTGAATATGTCATTTGTACGCGCTGAGTCTTTCTTTGGATGCAAGAATTTTGTATGTTTCTGGTACTTCACTGGTATAGATCTCGTATATAAATAGTATCCGATCACTACTTTGTGTGGTGACGGCACTATGTCTCTAGTTGAAGCACTATTCGCTCAGAAGAAGCTCTAGTTGCATTGGAACTGTTCTGTCAGTATCGCTTTGGGGAACTAGGCCTCGGAAGTGAGTGCGGGTTTAGGAGGGTTTCGGGGCCTATATTTGCATGGACAATGCCGATGACTCATCCCTTTGCGACGCAGAGAGGAAAAGCGACAAATATATATATTATATGTATATTACGTGTACATTATATGCAGATGAAATGTATGCTATATGTATATGATGTGTAGATTATATGTAGATGACATGTATATTGTATGTATGTTCTGTGTACATTATATGTACCTTATATGAATATTATATGTATATTATATGTATGATATGTGTTATATGTGCTATGTGTGTTATACGTGCTATATGTGTTATATGTGTTATATGTATTATACGTAGTATATGCATTATATGCATTATATGTATTATATGTATTATGTGTATTATCTGTTTTCCTATGTAGTATATGTATTATATGTAGTATATGTATTATATGTATGATACGTATTTCATGTATTATATGTATGTATGTATGCATGTATGTAAGTATGTCAAAGATGCATTAAGGCCCCGCTCGACCTGCCCAAGCGGCAAGCTTACGAGGGGAGCTTTACTACGCGCAAGCCGGAGGACGCCGACAGCCTTTACACTATTTGCACGATGATATCACAAGCACATACACGTCTGCTTGATCATGTTTAGTCCGTTCCGGCACGTCGTCTGCTCGTCTGGGCGGCAGGTTGGTGGGCAAAGCATGTGGCTGTGCTTTGACATGGAATTCAGTGTCTTTCATTTGTTCCTGAGCGGTTCAGTCTCTCGAGGCAAAGACAGTCAGACAGTACTGTTGAATGTTGTGTTGTTGGAAAGGGCCTGGGCTCCAGCCAAAAACAAAGAGCCAGTGCGCTCAAACGGTTTTGTCACCAGATCATCTCGTGTCTCCTCACCTTGAGCAAGGGACGTTTACATTACATGTGAAGCTTGTCAGGAAACCCCACGAGCAGCCGCCCTTCCTCGTGACCTGCCGAAGGTCGCTTGTTTGAGATGTACGTGTGCGATCATGGTTCTAAATCTTCGGGAGGACCCCAATCTCCAATGTGCTACACGGCTAAGCGCCAGAACAGCTGTCCCCTGCACCCCCTCTGCAGTCGTGCAAGAAGAGATTGAAGTTGAAGGCAACTCGACAGAAACCTGGAAGGGTCTCAAACCAGGTTTCAAGCTCATCGAAAAAGTCTTTCGAAGAAGGTCGGCTTGGACTCATTTCCTGAGAGTGGAGACGCTGAACGGTTCACTGTTGCGGCATTGCGGCATTGCGGCATTGAGCCTAGGTGTTGCCTTCACCTTCAAAGGCTGGTGACGTGTTGTGTTGGGCTCTGTATCTGTGAATTACGTTTCTGCAGCTTGGCCAGTGCTTTTGGTTGCCCCAGCTATGCCTTCCAACATCATGTGCAGGAAGAGGATGCGCCACGGCTCGCATTCTTCAGCCTGCGCTTTGACAAAAGCCCAGAAGAGACGACAGCGAGGAATGTTTGCAGCATGCTCAGGGCGCGCGGCTATGAGGTGTACATCGTGGAGGGCCAGCCAGATGATTTTGGGAAGCTCGTCGACAGGTACCTTCTCAGGATCAAGAAGAAGAAGGGGCTTTTTGTGGCCTTTGTCACGGAGAGCTACGGCGAGTGCACCGGCAACCCGTGGGCGACATATCAAGAGCTTCGATATGCCCATGCAAATGGCATTGAGATTATGCCGCTGAAGATGTCAGAGGTGTACCCCCCACAACCGAAGGACGAAGATGCCGAGGCTCTCGTAACTAAGGTGCTGCACCTGGGTCTGGCTTACGCCGACTGTGTCGGTTTGGCCGATGAGCAGATTGCCGACAAAGTTCAGAAGAGGCTGCGACGAGCACGCGAAGGAGTCCCTCCGAGCACACGCATAAGCTTGTAGGCACTTGAACCCCGTGTGACTGCAGTACCTGCTGATTGTGAAGCACAGAACGTGCGGAAGCTTCAAGGGCCCTGGTTTCGAGGTTGACCTCCATGAAGCGCCTGCTGCCCATCACAGCGAAAAAGCCTTTGAGATGGATTGTCCGACTGCTTCGGTTCAGCATTCTCGAGTGCACTGGACTGTGCAAGATAAATACCGCGATGGGTCGCAGCCGCTAGGGTCTCAAGCGTCTGCCAAGCGACCTAGGGTTCCTGGTGTATGAAAAGGGGGTGGGGAAAAGGGGTAAGTGTCTTGGCAGAATTGGGAGCAGCACCCGTCCCAACAGACTGCGAGAGAGCACATGGCGTGCTTTGATCATGTCACTACAATGGTTCTTGTTGATAGCCCGTATGTTCCCAGAGCACAACGAAGCGCGATCGGTCTTGCCACATGAGCGCGGCCCGGCATGTCCCGGTGCCTTGACCTGCAGTGATGTAGGGTTCCTGTTAAAGTGCTTTGCAGTGGGCGATGCTCGTGAAGTTTGGCTTTGGTATTGGTTGGAAGGAGTTCGGACTTCAGTTTCAAGGCGATGTTGGGGCAGGGCATAATGAGGTTGAAAGAGTTGCGCAGAAGTGCTTCTGTGGAGCGCGTTGCTGATAGTTTGCTGACATTGAAGCTTGTTCTATGCTGACATTATCGTGCGTTCTTTCCTCTTTACATGTTGATGAGCAGGCCCTGTCCGTTAGTTTGGATGGCAGCGAAGGCTTGGGTCCAACAGCGGAGATGACGCGCGCGGAGGAATTCGGCTGGGCCGCAGCTGGGATACATGGGAAAGTTGTAGAGTTGTGGGATTGTGATCGTAGGCCTCAGCTCTTGGGTTTCGGCAGGCTGCAGGGTTGGGTTGGGTTGTTGGGGTTCTGCTGCCGAATGCTGTGTAGCGTCAAGCGGATAAGCAAAAGCCAGAGCCAACGACTCCATCTGGCAGCACCATCCATGACGATGGCCTCAGCCTTGTCATTTTCAAGATTCTATTTCTAGCTTTTGCTAGATATAGCACACGATATCGACGAAGGCAACTGGCAGCTGATGACGAAGAAGTACAAGTTTGATGCAACCTTCGAGAGCCTCAGCGGAGCACGTGCAGCGGGCAGGTAATTTTTCTGGACGGCTCAGGTCATTGAGTGTGATCGGGGGTACAGCTATGAGGGAGGTGTGTGGCTGAAATTCTGTAGCCGACGAAAGCCACAGCTCAGGGGGGACCGCACGCATTTCTTTCTACGTGGCACGCCAAGAGCACCTATGAGGACAGAGGACGTGATGACTAGTATTTTTCCAGACAGCAGTTGCTCACATCGCGTTCGGATGTTATGTTTCTTCCTCTTTCTGTTGCATCTTAGCATCTTTTCAAACTCCTCGCACGGTGGCGCATTACTTTCCTGTCTGCTACCTGGACAGCTGTGTCCTGTATCTGCCCTCCAGTTACTCTAGCTGTCTTCTGCACAACCCAAGCTTTGCACGGAGCCGAAGTTGATTTGTTGATCAGTACTTAACAGCTCTGGTTTCCCATTTATTCTTGCTTTTGGCCGTATATTTGTTGACAGCGGATGCCCTGTGCCGAGGAAGAGGATAACGACCTGCGCGGCGCAGGTCTTCAGCAAACGATGTTTCGGCCGAGCTACACACGTGTGTTGGAGGGACACTGCTGTGCAGAGCAGTTCAGCTTCCGCCTCTTGGGACTCTCAGCGCAAGCCACAGGACTCATTGCCCCTGGCCCTGGGCCCTCTGCGGCTGGGTTGGGCACTTCCAATTCAGGTTCGCTTCGCTGTGCAGAGGCCGCGCGCCTGACTGGTCGATGTTCTTGCGCTTCTTGCGCATCACTGTAGTCACTGTAGTCTTCTCCCTTGGGAAATGGAAGCCAACGAGCCCAAGTTGCAGTTTTCATGGCCGTGACAAGCGAAGGAGACGACCCATCTGCGCAGCATCTCCAGCATTCCCACGTTGAAGGGGCCGTCAGGCTGCAAAACATGGAGACTCCACAAGGAGCGCTTCAACAGTTTACCAAATCCAGGTGCCATCGTGCCTTGCAGCTCGACGTGTCTTGGAATCCGCGTCCAGGGAGCCCACAAAACCCACCTGCTCAACACGGAGAATAGATTTGGAATGTCGATTGAGTCCCTTTTGGCTGCTTTGGTTTCAGAATCCTCTCAGGTTCTGGGCTTGCGGCCTTCCGGAGCGATTAAGGACTACATGGTTCCTCTCCGGCTTCTTTGTCCACACATTTTTGCCATCGTGAGGAGACCGCCCACAACCCTGAAGGTACGCTGAGGACAGTAAATGGGATGTTCTTCAGCTTTATTGAGTCGATAAATAGGAGGTTTGTTGAATTCACGCCTTTCTCTGTGAATGGTCGCTACTTGTCCGGCATTCCGTTTGGGTCGAGACGTTGCTGTCGTTGAAAAGCAAACTTCCAAGCAAAGTGTCATTGAGAAGCCGACCGAGTCGATGGGCATCCTTGCACGGACTGTTCATGCCGCGGCCGATGAACGGCTGTGTGATGTGAGCAGGACATGTCAGTTCGCAATGCATCCAGCGTGCATACATCGCGTCCCAGCAGCATGAGCATGAGCCTGAGGTAGCAACAGACACCTCGATTCAGCTTACAGTGCTGCCGTGGACCTTGTGGATGCCTCGCCTGGAAAACCCAGAGTTGTGTAGAGAATTGACCTTCGTTGTCCCTAAATGTTGCTTCGGGACGTAGCCCAATGTTCACCGTCGGACGTGTCCTTTCACTTCAAGTGTGGTGCGCACGGTGGCCTTCCAAGGCGCCGCGCGCGCTCTGCAATCCCAGAATTCGCCACAACAGCGTCCTGCAGACGGGTTACGTAGATTCTGTCGACAGAGAACTTTTGCAGTAGCAGTTCTTGATGCCACGGTTGTGGGCCATCAGGCGACAGGATGCCATGCTCGTGAAACCAAGCTTCGAGCTGGCTAGTGAATCTAGTGGCGTCCTGCGTTGGAGCTAGGCCAGGCTTTACGCAGACGTACGGGCCCTTTACAGGTGCAGTTGCGTTTCAGGCACCAGCTTGTGCAGCTGGCTGGGCTTTTCCTACGCAGGGTGCCTCAGCTGTTTGGTGCATGTTTCGGCTCAGGCGACTTCTGAAGGCACAGACGGTGAAAGCATCACGGTTTCCATCAAAGGCAGAAACCTTTCAGGCGGATGTCCCGCAGCTGGAGTTTCGTGCCACTGCATCAGCTTGCATCAAAAGACTGCCCCGCCCAGAAGTTGCATAAGTTGCCCTACTGAAGTTAGGATGGCCAAGGGTCGCCGTGGGCTCAATGGTATAAACTGATTTGAACTCTGTTGCACGCGAGCCGTGAACTTGCGGGGTGTCCGCCGTTGTTCCATCACTGCTTCTTCACGCGCGCACGCTGAGAATCCTCAAGCCGCATGCCTTATGCATCTGAAATGTTTGGCTTGGGTGAACTTGCCACCCAGTGCGACAAGCGCAGGCCACAAACAAGGCATCCAGCGTGCATACATCGCGTCCCAGCAGCATGAGCATGAGCCTGAGGTAGCAACAGACACCTCGATTCAGCTTACAGTGCTGCCGTGGACCTTGTGGATGCCTCGCCTGGAAAACCCAGAGTTGTGTAGAGAATTGACCTTCGTTGTCCCTAAATGTTGCTTCGGGACGTAGCCCAATGTTCACCGTCGGACGTGTCCTTTCACTTCAAGTGTGGTGCGCACGGTGGCCTTCCAAGGCGCCGCGCGCGCTCTGCAATCCCAGAATTCGCCACAACAGCGTCCTGCAGACGGGTTACGTAGATTCTGTCGACAGAGATCTTTGCAGTAGCAGTTCTTGATGCCACGGTTGTGGGCCATCAGGCGACAGGATGCCATGCTCGTGAAACCAAGCTTCGAGCTGGCTAGTGAATCTAGTGGCGTCCTGCGTTGGAGCTAGGCCAGGCTTTACGCAGACGTACGGGCCCTTTACAGGTGCAGTTGCGTTTCAGGCACCAGCTTGTGCAGCTGGCTGGGCTTTTCCTACGCAGGGTGCCTCAGCTGTTTGGTGCATGTTTCGGCTCAGGCGACTTCTGAAGGCACAGACGGTGAAAGCATCACGGTTTCCATCAAAGGCAGAAACCTTTCAGGCGGATGTCCCGCAGCTGGAGTTTCGTGCCACTGCATCAGCTTGCATCAAAAGACTGCCCCGCCCAGAAGTTGCATAAGTTGCCCTACTGAAGTTAGGATGGCCAAGGGTCGCCGTGGGCTCAATGGTATAAACTGATTTGAACTCTGTTGCATGCGAGCCGTGAACTTGTGGTGTGTCCGCCGTTGTTCCATCACTGCTTCTTCACGCGCGCACGCTGAGAATCCTCAAGCCGCATGCCTCATGTCTTGCACCCTTCGTGACATCTCAATCGTTTGGCTTGGGTGAACTTGCCACCCAGTGCGACAGGGGCAGGCCGTGAAACGGTCAAAGCCGAGACGCTACCTGCAACCGGGAAGGCTCCTGTTGAATGCACGCTCTCGGAAGTATTCAGCAGACCGCCGCCCTGATGAGCGGATGAGTTTCACAGCGTCCAGTTCGCTTGAGAAGCGGTGCTCCGTTGTTCTGTCGTCTCCCATGTCGCAGTCCAGTTTGATGCAAAGCCCTCGCGGGTCAGGTCGGCAAGCTCATAGCAACAGTGTCACAAACGGCAGCAAAGAGAGACCTTAAGGTAATTGTTAGTTTCAGACCGGAACTGTCATCCAGAAGTGGAAGCAGTCGAAAGACATGGTCTTTTTCTTCGCAGTTTTCACTTGTTGTGGAGGACCTTCCGCATATTCCTTTGGAGTTGAAGTTGCGCGGATCTGATCTGGATCCTTGTCCCGTGCAGGCAACACGGGTGGTGCAGCCTACCAAATAGTACCTTACAAGAGTGTGACATTTGCGTCTCAGCCTAACAGGGCTTGGGATTTGACGTGCCAGAGCCTTCTGTCGCTGCAGCCTACCTAAGCCATGAACGGCTGCATTTTT